TTGGGACCGAAACCCTTTTCATCATTTATTCCCATGAGAAGCAGCAGTCTAAAGTCTTAATCTTTTATGGAAGCTTGCACAAAGATAGAGACAAGAACCATACATGCCAAGAAAGCTAGATTGTGATCTTTTTTTATTAGAGAAAATAGATACAAGTTCTACAAAGCAACAAAAAAAAAGATGAAAAGAAACAGTTGTATGCTCTTTTAAACCCTGCCAATTGATTTAGAACACAGGGAAGAAAAGGCAGTTCCCGCTCCACAATGAATGTTTAATGAGGTTAAAAGTATCCATTTAAGAGCAAAAGAAACAACATGGATTGTTAACTGGTTAGTGTCTAGAGAACTGAAGAAAAAAAACAACAAAAAGCTTTTGACTGATTATTTTCTTGAGTAAATTATGCATTTTATACTTTCACTCCAGTGCTCATGAGGCTCAAATTAACTATTTCTATGAAGGCAAAAACCTGGATACTTACAGTTTATTGACAACTTCTTTCAAGTCATTTGTCTGCACCTCTCGGGTCATGATTTCCATCATTTTCTTACGAATTTGACGGACCTGTTGGTGCTGGGCATAAGAGGTCTTACGGATCTGGTTGTTGCGCTTTTTGGTAAAACCAACACAAAAGAGGCGGAGCAAGTAACCATCGGTAGTTTTGACGTCAACGTGGGCTTCGATCATGGTCTAGACAATTCGAAGATATTTTCATTTCAATGGCAGGAAAAGCGATCATTTTAATCACTTCCTATTTACAAAATTCTAAAACCTCCAACATCAAGTTGAGACATGATACCGCTCTTTAAATCACTCCACATTTCATTTTAAGAACAATATCTGAGCTATCCAAAGCTCTCTAGATATAAATTTTGGGTAGCCAACTTTCCTGTATAGCTAGAAGACAAAACCTGAACAACTTTTTTGGATGGGAATTTGTATAATTTTCCCATTTTCTTAAAAAGCAGAGTGAACTGAAATTTAACCTTTACTGATAATTCATGGTTATAATGAATATAATAATAAAACTATGATCTCAGAAACTAGGAATCTATATAGAATTCTATTTGTACCTATGCTAAATATTATTGGGATGAGTTCTTGTCTATCTTTTGCCCATGCTGGACACCTTCAAAGAACTTTGAAGCTACACTTCTTATAACTGTGAATAAAACAATCTGAATCTGCAAAAAGAGGGGGGAGATCCAAAAAAAAAGACACAAGAATGCATCAATCAGTCGTCACTTGTATGTATAGATAGATAGATAGATAGATAGATAGATAGATAGATAGATAGATAGATAGATAGATAGATAGATAGATTTTATGGCTTCTCTTTTAGTTGCCCAGGTACCTCTTTCTTTCTTTTTGGCTAGGCAATGGGGTTACGTGATTTGTCCAGGGTTACACAGCTAGTAAATGCTATGTGTTTGAGGCCAAATTTGAACTCGGGTCCTCTAGACTCCAGGGCCAGTGTTTTATCCATTGTGCCACCTAGCTGGTGTCCCCGTCTCAGGTACCTTTTAAAAATGTATTTCCTAATGTTCTCTGGAGTTCCAATATATCAAGTGTGATTATAATGATTATTTTCCATTTTTATCACTACTTAAAAACTCACTATCCTCTCTCAAATTCAATTATCCTTTAAAAACTGGAACATGTTAAATTTGGCAATTAAATGAAAACAGGATCTCTTTCTGTTCTAAGTAGGCTTTTTAAGATTCTCAGTCCATTAAGCTTTTATCACTATTAAATCCAAGCTAAAAAGCTTTTTTAACAGTGAGAGAAATTCTGGAAAATACGAATAACTAAGAGAAATTCTGGAAAATACGAATAACTAACTAGTATGAAGTTATTTTCAAACACATTATACCATAATGAAAATTAATTACGTTGAAAGTGAAGGCGAAAATTGAATGTACAATCCCCTTTTAGGATCTGCAAGATAAATTCTCTACCAAACATGCAATCACTAAAAGAAAAAAGCCTGAAACTTCCCAGAAAACTTATCTACTTTAAAGGAGAATGTCAGAAAAAATGCAACGGTATAATCACTACACATCATTTGGGCCCGAAACATTTTTGTCATCATTCATTCCCCACAGCCATCATTTAAAAAATCTTGATATGTTAGTGCTTCTTCCTGACATGCATAAGGTAAAAGATTTGAGTAAATGGTCCAAAACTACCTTTATATCTAGATTGCTACTTAGAGAAACACCAGAATACCACCGCATACTCCTATAAGTCTTTAGTTTCATATCTCATCAGATGCAACAACTCTATTAGCATTCCCATTCGATTAAAGAGTAAACAGGCTCAGAGGTTTTGCCAATGGTCCCAAGACTAAGCAGCAGAGAACTGAGATGAAGCCTCAAGTCTTCTGATTCCAATGCCATTTATATTACACTATGTCTCCTTCCTAGTATTACCTGTGATACTAACAAATAAATACTAGTCTTTATTTAAGGGCCAGTTAGGAAAATAACTTGTTTATCCTAGAAACTAAAATGCCTATGTTATTAAACAAACTATGGTTCTACAGGATATCCTCTATACTAAATAAGTTTCTATCAATGATCTCTTTAACCACACTGGCCAACACCCACCACACACAAAAAGTTGGTCCAGATCCCAGCTCTAGATGTTTTACACACACTGCCTACACACATTTAATTGAAAAAAAGAACTTAGGGGCAACTAGGTGGCGCAGTGGATAGAGCACTGGCCCTGAAGTCAGAGGGACCTCAGTTCAAATCCAGACTCAGACTAAACACTTGACACTTACTAGCTGTGTGACCCTGGGCAAGTCACTTAACCCCAACTGCCTTAAAGAAAACCAAACACTTAACTGTCCTAAGTGACCTGCCCCTATAATCTTTCATTGTGAACTAAAGTGCTGCAAGGAATGCTGTAACGATCTAGTCATGCAGAATACAATGCTTACCTGCCACTTTTTGACCATGGAGCACATCTTGTCCCTGGTAAGGTCCATTCCATGGAAATTAGTCAAACAATTTTTACCCTGAACATCTTCAGTAATTAACTTGAATTTACGAAAAGCAACCTCATCATTCTGCAGATCAGCAAGACTCACTTCAAAAACTCGACCCTTGAGACCATCAGAGGCAATTTCTATAAAACAAAATCAGGTTTCTTATTGCTATTAGGAGCTAAAACAGCAACATCAAACCTTCACAAAAAAGAGCTGTCATAAAGTTAACATTAAAGTTAGCATCATTCAGGCAATAAGGTAAAAACAATTTAAAAACCCTAGAACAGTTAATGAAGCATCTGGGGCACTAATCCACTTCAGAGTTATTGTGAAGAAAGCATTGTATTAACCTCAATAGGGTTTATGATTATTACATGTCTTCAGCTGTATTCAACGGCATTAAAAGATCTTGCTACTCTTATCATAGCTATCAATTGTTTTCCCCAAACTTTACTCCTGACATCACCACCTCGATTCCATCACTTCTCAGTAACCAGCATCCAGTGGGAAAAATGGTTTGCAATATGAACTATTCCAAGCCACACACACAACCAGATATTTACTTGTTCCTTGGGTCCTTGTAACCAGTGTCTTGCCAATATTTCGAATGTTGAACATAGCTGGTGCTTTTACATCATACCAATCCTTCTTTGAAAATGGATCAACCCTTAATGAATAGGGGGGGAAAAAAACAGAAGTTAGCTACTTGTTATTTGTACTGGTATACTAGAAAGAAAACTGGTCTTAAAAAGATTCTGATCTAGGCCCTCATACAAAATGAGACCACTGGAAATTTACTTTTCAGTGCCCTGGCCAACAGTGAGAAAAGCTGCAACAGCAGAGTTCTCACACGGAGTTATACACTAAGGAAATTCATAAACATGGCCACTGAGCACTCAATCAAGGTGTGCCATAACAAAACTTGAACAGATTAGTCTTCTTAGGCAGTTACATAACATAGCTGATAAGAGTACTAGACTGGGGGGTTCAATTCAGGCCTCTGACCCTTAACAAATGCAGCAAATTCACTTAGGGCCTCAGTTTCCTCATCTTTCAAAATTTGGGTGATCACAATAGCACCTACCCGCCCCCCAAAGTTGTTGTGAGGATCAACTTGGAAAATATTTGTTAAGCGCTTTGCAAACTTTAAAGGGCTAGAAGAATGCTTTCTATTACTTAGGAGATCACCGTGACATATAGGGTTTTTAACTAGCAACCACCAGGCTGACGTGTGCATAGGCAGGGTAGCCTCAAATAATTATTCTTCACAGGTTTTGCAACTAAAGTACAAATGCAGTTTCAAGCACGATTTCTCCATGGCACAGAATTCAACCTGAACGCACACTTTTCTTCACTGTCTCAGGACATAATTACGAAAGAGAACCACTGAAACAGACGCTTCCCCCCGCCTCTCCCCCGGCCCTGCGGGGCACATAACCAGGCCGGCGTGAGGCTCCGGGGGAATCGAGGCAGTCACCCGGGAAGCGGAAAGAGAAGATCGGCCCCTCGTGGGGTCGGGCCTGGGCGAGACGGTGGAGCCGCAAAGCTGAGGGGACTGGCGTGTGGGCTAGAGGCTCCCCGCTCCGTGCGTACCGGAGCCGGCGACTTTCTCCCCAGCTACCCGGACTCGTGGCTGCGGCCCCCGCCGGCCCCATGCCCTGGCCCTACCCCGGCGCTGGTCGGCCTGGGCCGAGCCCAATCCACCCGTCATCCCGGCCATCCCGCCCGGACCGCGGCTGGTGGCCCATCCGCCCGCCTCGGGGGACCCCCACCGCGGGACCCCCGGCTCCAGCCACCACTTACACTTTCTTCTTGGCTCCTTTTTTGCCGCCTTTGGTGAGGCGCTTGTTCTTGCCCACCGCCATGACCCCGCTCTGAAAGCCAAAAGGCCGAAAACGCAGCTCGCGCGAGACTTTAGGAAGCTGGGGCGGGGCTCCTCTCCGGCGTTTCCTCCGGCGTGCGCGCCACGCGTTTTTTTCCCCCTGACCCAAACCTTCGCGAGATCTGGGAGAGAGTAGACGGTTCCACAAGCGCGGCTTCAGCGCCGCCTGGCGCTCGGAGGCTGCACAAGCCTCAGGGCTGCCGGAAGGAGCCACGGAAACGGAAGTGGTTCCAGAGGTCGTGATGACGCCGACGGGAATGGGAACGCCAGAGTTTGGCACTGAGGCGTGGACAAGGACGCTGTGGAGTTGTGGGTACTTCCGAGGTCGTTTGGTCCAGCCCCCCTCTTTTTATAAATGAGGTTCCAGAGAGGCGGAGAGGTTTTCCAAAAGTCTTGTAGGCAGTTAGGGGCAGAGCTGGAACTCCAACCTGGCTTTGCTGTTGTGGGTTTGCTCCCCCATGCCCCACAACCTCGTAGCCGCTCGCCCGCACTATTGCAAAAGAAACCTCTGGTATCCCTGACTCCAGCCTCCACTCGAATCCAGCCGACAAACAGCCGCCAAATTAAAATGAATAAAGTACGGGTCTTACTGCTCTGCCCAGGAGTCTCCACTGGCTCCCTATTGCCTCTCCAGGACCTCTTAACCTGGGCTGCGTGACCTTGGTTTTTATATGTACTCTTTAACTACTTAAGTGAAACTAGCTTCCTTTGTAATCCTGTGGGGTTTTTTGTTTGTTTGTTTGGCTAGGCAATGGGGCTAAGTGACTTGTCCAGGGTCACACAACTAGTAAGTGTTACGTGTCTGAGGCTGGATTTGAACTGGGGTCCTCCAGAATCCAGGGCAGGTATTCTATCCACTGCGCCACCTATCTGTCCCTTATCCTATGTTTTTTATTTTGTACATTCAAAAATAGGATGAAAAAGGTTAAGAATCCCTACTCTGGCCTTCCTCAGTTTCCCCCCAATCTGTCTATCCAGGTGATTAGACATTCTACCTCATTCATTCAATCCAGTCTGCCTATTTGCTGTTTCTTGTGTAAATATACGGGGATCGTCACATTTAGACTACTAATAGTTCTATTTATAAAGAGCTTTAAGGATTTCAAAATGCTTTATGTACCTTCTCCTTTGATCATCGCAACAGCCCTACATAATGTACATCTATAGATTCATCATCTACATTTTATAAATCAAGAAACAGGCCAAACTTCCTTAAATTGCTTTCAAAGCTAGAAGGTGGGAAAGTAAAGTTGGTTTATTTGTTTTTAAATCAAGACAGCAATTTGTAATTGCTCTAGAGCTGGAAGGGACTCGAGAAGCCATCTAGTCTAACCCTGTCTTTTTACTGGGGCCCAGAAAGTTAAGTAACTTGCCCAAGGTCATATGGCAATCCCCAAGGCAAGATTGGAACCCAGGGCTACGGACCCAGGCATCATGGTCTTTATGTTATGTGCTTTCTTCACAACACAGCTCAGTTACACTTGCTTCAAGCCTTTCTTGAGTCACCTGCCCTCACCCCCTCCTGATTCTTAGTGCCTTGGCTTCTGGAATGACTTTGTAATCGCTCATATGTACTTTGCATACTTCTCTGTGTATATGTTTCTTCGTATGGAATATAATTCCCAGCATAGTGTTGTTAGGTGCTCAAAAAAATGCTTGATGACTTGAATCTGGGAAAGGAGAAGAAAAATTATAATGGGTGAAAAAATTAACACTGAAGTAAAAGTCACCTGTTTCACTACTGGCCAACACTAACCCTGAATAGAATATTAGTGTTACCTTTCTCAGATAACACTTGCATTTTAACAAGGGCCCTCTGACAGCAGCGAAGTACCTCCAACCTCTAGAATTTCAGACAGCAGTGATGTAGCTAATAAGGTATCTATTTTTAGGTATGGAAGAGGATTGACTTTAGAAGCCTGTTTTGCTTACCTTCAGACAAACTCCTGATGAAAACAATTCTGTTTATGCAGTTCTAATGGTAAGCAACTTCAGAACATACTTGAAGGCTATGCCCAGTTGTTTCAAATTAAAAAAAATTAATGATAAGAAATCGTGGGTTTTCAACCCATTTTATTTTAATGGTAGTAGACATTGTGAGCTTCAGATTCAATTTCCTACTTAAAGAAGCAGCAGTTATTTTTCTAGTAGTAAAGCTGAATTGAACTAAGCCACCCACATTTTATTCATAGTAAGAATAGCACACATTTATGAAATATACTTAAGAATGCAATTTGTAATAAAGAAACAGCATCAAATCTAAGGGGAAATTGGCCTCATTAGTATCGTATTCTAATCAACTAAGCTACCCAGACCATAATGATACAATTTTCATATATATGTTTTCTTCCAGTGTAATCTTCAAGTGCTTATAGGATGATCTGGCTTACCTGGATCTTGTGCTAATCTTCCTACAAATTGATTATTCTCTTCATGTTTCTCCCTGTTGTAAACATAAGGCAATACTTTTCATGATCTTCTGTCATATTCTCTAGTATTTTTTAAATGGCAAGAGAAAAACAAATGTTTGATAGTCAAGTGGTTCCTAGCCTGTTTTGTTCTTCTTTTTTTGTGATTGCTTTATTTTTTGTAGGACAGGATGATAGTCCCTGAGGTCTCTTCCTTAATCCATTTCCCAATTTTCAGCATCAGTGGCTTATTTCATTTTGTCAGGTTGGATCTATTTTAATTGCATATATTGTTTCATCTTTATCCTTCTAACTTAATGTTAATTTGACTGTGTGAGTATGCAAGTAAATCTGCTGATGTTGAATATGTGAGTATGTATAGAGTATAGTATAGTGAAAAGAGCACTGGAATTAAGATTCAGCATGCCTGGTTTCTGCCACTTTATTACATAGAAGTGAAAACTGAGGCCACAGGTAGTGACTTATTCATTCTCAATCAATAGATGGCTTGAAACAGGACTTGAACCTAGGTCTTCTGACTTGTGTTCTTTTCACTGTCTAAACCTGTTTTCTCTTCAGTAATAATTCTCCTCCTGTTTACCTCATAGAGCTATTGTGAAAAGTAAATGAAATGTGTAGGAAGCACATTTAAAATGAAAGTTCTCCCTGAACATAAAGTATTGTATTCTTTTATGACACTTACTTGTTTAATGATGGAACAACTGCATTGTATACTCCTTGTAAATTTGTTACAGCATAAAATCCTCTTCATTTATCTTTAATTTGTCAGTAAGTGGAATCATAGAATATTAGAGTTGGAAAGAACCTCAGAGATCATCTACTCATCGATAAGATTCTAGAGTTTAGATCTGGAAGGAACCTCAAAGATCATTCAAGTCCCTCATTTTATAGATAAGAAAATAAAGTCCAAAAAGCTTAAATCTTAAATGGGTTAGACAAGATCACATCTCTAGTAAGTGAAAGAGCTAGGACAAGAACCCAGTTAATTAGCTACTATGTGGTATTGTGGTCTCCTTAATCATAATAAACAAATATAATTTACTATTTCATGTAATACCATCACCTATTTGGTTAAATAATTGTCCATAGTAAGACACTTGTTTCACCGATCTAAAATTAGCCAAGTTTAGCAGACCAAGCCCCTTGTACAGTATATCCAATCCAGTCTAATTCAACAAGCATTTATTAAGTGCCTACTGAAAGGCATTGTGGTAGATAGTAGGGATACAAAAAACAAAATGAAGTATCTCAAGGAGATAATATTCTACAATACATAAACAGATAAGCCTATACCACAATAAGTTGAGGAATGGAGATGGAGCAGTAACAGACTAATGGTTCAAAAATGGTATTCTGTAGAAGATGGCACATTCCAAAGCCTGAGAAAAATTATTTTGTTGCTCCAAAATTGCATGGCTTCTTTCATCTGCCAGTTTCATTCTAACTCGTAAGAGAATATTTTCATTCTAAAAGGATAGTGTTTCAAGCTTGGGATATCATAAACCTGATGTTAGCAAAGACTGCCATGTTCTTTGTCTAATTCCTTTTTTTCCCATGAGTGAGAGAGCCACACGGGAGCATTTAATGAGGCCAGGTGCATCTAGTTTACTCATTAAGATACTCAGGCACCTAAAGGATTTGTCAAGGACCATTATTCCCATCCTGCTTTTGTTTTGCACTAAAAGTTTCCTTATGAGGCTTAGATTTAGATCTATGTTTGCTTAGGTAATTTTTTCCTTTTCAATACATGTTTTATTGTTGCTTATTTTTAAATAATACAAGTATCAGTTTTCTAATTATACAGGATGGAAGGCATTGTTCTTAAGTTTTGTTTCAGAGTTTAGATGTTACTAGTAGATAATCTATTAGCATCAGATTTTTTTACATAAAATTTACAATTTTTGAGAAAATAATGCATCTTGAAACATCAATTTTTAAGGGTATATTCCTTAAACTTTGCTAAATGGTAACAATTTAAGTGAAAGTTTAATGGATTTTTACTTATAAGGAAAGTAAGTAGTAGTAAGGGGTTAGAAAGCAAATGGTGAATTTAAGATTCCTGAGTACCAAAAAAAAAAGAAACTAACTTTATGACAGACATTTTCTCTTTAGATACTTAGCTTCTCTCTTTAACTTCCCATATATAAAGTGAGAATGGTAATAGAACAATAGGAGTGTTCAGAGTTCTTCAAGATAAAATTACTATAATATATTCTAGGGCCTATCCTAGATCACCTGCAGGCCTCAGCTTCTGCAGAACTCTGCCCTTATTAAGCCCTCCAGACATATTAAAAGGATGGAAAACTTAATCATCCTCCAAGACGGTATTTCAGAGTTTGAGATTCAAGACAAATAACATGCAAATAACACATTTTATACGAAAATACTTTGAAAAGGATAAAGTATTATGCCAGTGTTAGAAACTATTTTTATTGCCTTTTCCTACTCAACCATTCAGTCTCTTCTGTTGCTTTAGAACAGCTTCTTCTGTTCCTTATGTCTTGCTGCTAAAACTCCTGGAGGTGCGCCTGCCAATCCATGCGTACTGTCTACCTCAGACTCCTGGGGATGGTGTGACTAAGCAGAAAGCAAGATTGATTTTGGAGTTGGGCCAGGAAGCCAAACAAGGAAGTTGACAAATTGGGCTGGTACTACATCTAATCCTGGCAGCAGTGGTATAACTAGGATAGTATAAATGATATAAAAGTTCAACTCAGAAAGGGTTTCATAGGGGCAAAATGAAGAAATGCTAGGATTACCCTCCTAATCCAGAAGCCAGAAGGTATGTTTTTATATTGAAAGGCACCTGCTCCTTGGCTTCCTTACTTCTACATATTCACAATCATACATTTTTTTCTGAGCCAGAATTTTGAGCTTTAAAGGACCTCTTAGAGATCAAGTGATACAATCTCTTCATTTTACAGGTGCAGATACTAAGGCTCAAAGAATTCAAGTGACTTCTCCAAGGTTGCACAACTAGTTAATGGCAGAGCTGAGAATCAGGCTTCCGCATTCAGCTATGAATTTCCAACAGTTCATAGTAATAACATATTTACATTAAATGTTCTTTTGTTTTAAGCTGGCTAGTCAGAAACTTTATGCATCTTTCAGTTTGTTGAGTTGAAGAACTGGGAAGAAATAGGAAGTTTTTAGAGGGCTTGAAGATTCAGGGAAAGAGAAGAAAGGAGGACTGTGGAGAATCTAAGGTGTGCTGATTAAGGATGTAGATATAGTCCAGGCCATCTGAGTGCTCAGAATAAACAAACAGCTAAGAAATTCCTATGGACAGAGTTCTTTTTCACACACAGACAAAATGTAATGTTTCTAGTACCCAAAATTAAATACCCCCATTCTAGAAATCCAATGATCTGAAAAAACAACCTGAGCCTAGGGGCTGAAATAGTTTGGACAGTGCTTGAAAGTATCTAAACAAGGTGACTGTTGATGAGAAGGTAATATGTAACAAAGAGAACTTAAGAAGCTGTATTAATATTTCATTCTTGGGCTACTTAAAATAATGTGCTCTATGCCTGTCTTATAGCACATAATTCTTTCCATGTTGCATAACAATTATTTATGTTTAGGCTCTATCTTCCTGGTATATAATATAAACCCCTTGAGGAAAGGAACCACATCTTAATTATTTCTGTATCAAATACTTTTCTTTATCTGTATAAGACCTCCCACATAATAGTCCTTAGACCCTTACTACTGTGTGACCCTGAGCATTTAAGCTCTCTCAGACTCAGTTTCCTCACCTGTAAAATGCAGAAAATAATACCACCTACTTCACAGGGTTGTTATGAGGATTAAATGAGATAATGTACATAAAACTCTTTGTAAACCTAAATATATAATCATAGCTATTAATATTACTATTAGACAATATATTTTTGTTAAATTGAATGTAAAATGTGTTGTACTCTTCACACTGGTAAAAAAATAAAATAAAATAGGTATGTACTACAATAGGATGCACACAGTGATTTCAGGGGCATAATTTTTTTTTTTAATGAAACCCTTGTCCAACTTTTAAGCTCAATGACAAGACAAAAGCTCAGCTCAACTCTTATAAACCTACAGTAGAATAAGCAGCACTCAAGTTTCTTTGTTTTTGTTGTTGTTAAAAAGAACGTACAAGTGATACAGAATCATTTATTGACTAGAATTAATTTTAACTAAGTGAACAAGTCACTGATGGTCATTCACTACAGCTTTGTTATACAGAACCTTTCTTTGTAAATTTTTTCCTATACACATTTAATGCTGGTGCATTCATTCAGCAAGTATTTATTGAACCCCTGCTACTTGTATGACACCTTAAGAGCCCTTGCTTACTTTCTCTAAGTGTGTGCTCTTTTAGTAAAGCAAGTCTCCAAGTGATTTTTCATCAAAAGTCTCACTTTGTTTGATAACTTTAAAATGTAGCATAGATTGAGTTCCTTCTCTCTCTGGTGAGGTAAAAACCGATTGTTTGCTATTCTTATCTCCTGGTCTTCCTGATTCCCTTCCCAGCCACTCTTAAAATGAGAAGTGGTTTAGATCTCTAATCACACTAAGCATGTAAGTAGGGTGAGCTTTATTTTCCAGATAGAAGCTTTTATTCTGTACCCAAGTATTGGGAGATCTGGACTTCATCCGGCTCTGTCCTTTTTTGAGGTCCATTGACCATCACTGTACAAGGGATGCCAGATACAAATACACCACGGTTTTGTAGAGGGACAACATAAGGTTTCTAGTTCTGTTTTGTTTTCATTTTTCTTCCTAATAATGTCCAGAATTTTGTGGACTTTTTTGGTTGCAGTAATAACATATAGTAGATCCATGTGTTTACAGAATGTTCTGCCATGATTTCCAAAACCCTGTCTTTGATGCCCTGGCAATATAATATGGAGAAAAGAGTCAGAAGACCTGAGTTCAAATTCTTTCTCTGCTACTTGTATGACTTTGAGTAAATCCCTTCGACTCTCTGGGTCTCATTTTCCTCATTTCTAATATGAGGGGAAGACCTCTAAGGTCTTTCTATCTCTAAATATCTAGTCCTATAATCATTCATTTAACAAACTTATTCAGCAACCATTGTGTATGAAAAACTGCTAGGCATTGTGGGGAATCCAAAGATAAGTGCAGTGTGAAACATGCTAGGTGGTGCAGTGGATAGACTTGGAGTCAGGAGGACCTGAGTTCAAATCTGGCCTCAGACACTTGATACTTTTTAGCTGTGGGACCATGCATAAGTCATTTAACCCTAACTGTCTCACTAAAAAGCAACAAAAAAAAATGCATGTAAGTAACTGTAGCACAAGTTACGGCCATATCTGAAAATCAATGTCTAATTTTCATAAATTATAGTCTTAATAATAGTTTTCATAAATTAGTCACTTCCCAAATTCTTTCACTTACCTTACTCATATTGAAGTTCTTTCTTTTTTATCAATGGGATATTTATTAATTTGAAAATGTATATAGCTAAAATGTAAAGCAACTATTATTTACAAAGGAATAATTCTAAAATTTTTCAAGTAAATTCAAGGAAAGCAAAGATACTTCTTTTGCCACTATTATTTGACATAGTTCTACAAATTCTAGCCATCATGATATGACCAAAAAAAAAAAGGCACAAGTACTGGAAAAGATGAGACAAAATCATTCCTATTTGCTGATGACATAACACCTCAGAGAATTAGTAAAGAAATTAATTGAGAGGATAATTTCATTAAGGACAAAGGGCAAAAAATGCCCTCAAATCAACAGTCCTTCTATGTAGCAATAACAAAAATCAAGAGGAAATGGTAGAAAGAAAATTCTTCAAAATACCTCTAAATACATGAAACACCTAGGAGCCGATCTACCAAGACACACTCCAGACTGATAGTAATAAAATTAAAAATACTTTTAACAGAGGTAAAAGACAAAGAACAAGAATACAATATAATACTTAGACCATACAAATATAATGAGCACACCAAATTTAGTGCCTTACTATTAAAATGGACAAAGTAATAATTCATTTGGAGGGACAAAAGGTCCAATAACCCAAGGTAAATAATGGTAATAGGAATGAGAGGGAATAGTACTGCTAAACCCTAAAATATATTATGAAACAGTAAAAATTTTTGATGTCATTTAAAAAATTGGAAAGTAAATTAGCATACCAGGTTATGTATCAGAATACACATACACGCACACACACACGTATATATATCAGAAACAAACTTATTTGTCCCAGTGTTTAATAAACCCAAGAACACATCTTGATTTTGGAAGGATTCCTTATTTGATAAGACTGGTAGGAAAATGAAATCAGTCTGGCAGAAAATGAGCCCAGACCAGCAATTTACACCATATACTACAGTAAGTTCCAAATGGGTATATAACCTAAACACAAATGGATACATCATTTAAAAAAAAAAAGGACTGTAGAAATGGATACTCTTCCTCATTTTGAGTAGGTTGAGGATTCTTATCCAAACAAGAAATAGCTGCAACAATTAAAGAGAAAGTAGACACATAAAATTTAAAAGGTTGGCCTAAGCAACATCTATGTAGCTAGGGTATGAAGGAAATTTGTCAATTGGGCAAAAAAAAAAAAACAGACCCTCAAATATCAGATAAAAATATGATGGGCTTCCCCAGGTGATGCCAGGTTTCCCTACCCTGGAAGTTGTAGTTCTTTAGAATACAACTTCCTTGTGAGTAGTAATTGTTTCATTCTTTGTGGCCACAAAAGGGCATAACCAATACTAATAGATGGAAATTACAGATAAACTGAAAGGAGGAAAAACTTTTCAGTCAAGTGAACAAACATTTTTTTCAGGCTTACCAGGCATTGTAATAGGTACTAGAGATACAAAGAAATGGATAGATAGATAGATAGATAGATAGATAGATAGATAGATAGATATAGATATAGATATAGATATAGATATGTATGTATACATATATATATAGATATATAGATATATATAGATATATATTCTTTCCTCAAATTGTTCAGATTCTTATGGGGTCATGGAGAGACAGCAAGCAAATACCTATATCTGAGCAAGATATATACGGGGTAAATTAAGAGAAGGAAGAGTCTAGCCTTCAGGGAGGACTGGGAAAGGGTTCCTGAGAAAGTGAAGATTTTAGCTGAGACCTGAAGAAAGCCAGGAGGTGGCAGTAGGGAGGGATACATTATAGAGGAGGGACAGCCAGTGAAAATGCAGTCAGGAGATGGAGTATCTTGTGCAAAGAACAGCAAGGAGGTTAGAATGAGTCATAGAATAGAAGAGAGTAAGATTTAAGAAGACTAGAAAGCTAGGAAGGGGCTGGGTTGTGAAGGTCTTTAAAGACCAGAGGATTTTACATTTGATCCTGAAAGCAGTTGGGAGCCATTGGAGTTTACTTATTAGAGGAGTAACACAGTCTGACATGCACTTTAGAAAAATTACTCTGATAACTGAGTGGAGGATGGATTAGATCAGAAAGAGACTTGAAGCAAGGAGGCATACCGGAATGTTATTACAATAATTGGGGAATAAAATGATGAGGATCTGTGCTAGGGTGGTGACAGTGTCCGAGGAGAGGAAGAGGGAGTACATACGAGATGTCAGAGATATTAAGAAGTGAAATGACTAGACTTGGCAACCAGCCTTATGGAGGGTAAGAGAGTCAGGAGTTCAGGATGACCAGTAAGTTGTGAGGCTGGGTGACCAAGGCCGTACTGGTGCCCTTAACCATAATAGGCAAATTTGGAAGAGGGGCATATGTGGGTGGAGAGACGAGTTCAGTCTGGAACATGTTGAGTTAAAACATATCTATAGAATGGCTTTACAAGGAAAGGTCCATAGCTGGCTATGAATGGCAAAGAGAAAATGAGAACAGAATGTTGGTATCTTTTTTTTTCTAGCACTTAATATATTGCCTAGCATATAGCAGGCACTTATTAAATGATTGCTAACTTGACCATGGAGCTAGTTTGGCACTTAACCTGGGTTAAGTGAAGCTGATTGGTCCATTTCCCAACTTCTCTTCCCCCATCCCCAACTCTCATTGCATATCCTTGCTGTGTTAGAGCAAAGTAAACTTTCTGT